ACAGTCGACCCGCAACGCCCCCGCCACGCGCCGCCACGCTGTGCCACGCAGTTGCGCTATGCCCGTGCCGGAGCCGCTGTGCAGGCAACGCCGCTCGTCGCCACGCGTCAGGCCGTGCGTCACAGCCGTACCACGACGGCCGCAGCTGTCGCTACCGCCGCCACCGCCGCCGTAGCCAGGCGTGGCACCAGACACTAGGCCCACCGGGCCTCCAACTGCAGGCCCGCCCATGCCCACACCGCCGCCTCATCTTTCGGCCCGCAGCGACCAGATCGCCTATACCTCGTGGTATCACTACCTCGACGACGTCATGAAGTTCCGGCGCCTCAACCCGAGCTTCACGGTCGTGCAGCGTCGCGAAGCCGACCATTTGCGTTGAAGGTTGCTCCCCGTGGAAGCCGCGCCACGTGTAGGGCTCGGCTGGGAGAACCAGCATCGCCCAGCGCATCTGCGTCCAGGACGAGCCTGGGCATGTATTAGTGACGACAAGTGAGGACGCAGGAGCGGCAGAGAGAGAATGTTCTACCCGGCTACACCGAGGACCCGAGGATGACGGCAACGCCACGACAAAGACCACGACGACGACGGCTGCAACGCCAGATTAGTTAAGGTTTTTTTTTTGTATGATTGTTCATGTGTTGTATTGTAAAGTAACGTTAATAAGTAGTTAGTTAAGAAGGTGATGGGTGCACTAAAAAATAAAAAAGAACAAAATCACAGAAAATCAAATATAAAATACAGAACAAAAAATTCAAAGAAAAATAATAATAAAAATTTTCATATAAAATACGTATTCAACTACAACGTACATTTAAGCGTACCAAAGTTGTTCGCCGCATCACTGCGGCTTCCAACTTGTCTGTATATGGGGGGGATAATGTAATACAGTCGAAAGACGAATAAGTAAAATAGCTAGGGATAACCATTGTTCGGGCTGGGCATATATGACCAGCTGTGTAAAGTCGTAACGCGGATAGACAGGACAGAAGTAGGGCCAATTGTAGACAGGCATGTAGGAGGACTGTGGAGAGACAATAGGTAGGCGTGTCTACCTATTGCAGGTATATAACGCGTGTTCGGCCAGAGACATAGGAAGAGAGATAGTGTTACACAAACTACAGGCATAGACGATATTGGTATTGAGACAGCTACTGCACAGCATAAACCTCGTAAGTTATGTGAGGTTACTCGCGTACCTAGACTGTACGCATTCGCCATGTTATGGGCGGATGCTAGTTAAGTATACGCTATTAAAGAGATTCATGAATACGTACATACTATTCGTTATAGTCTGTTATTATCTGCATTCACATAGACGCCTAGCAACGGGTGTAGTCAACACACTCACGCGTAACCACTGATGCGATCACGGGTAGAAAGAGTCTACCTTATACTTGTATCGAACAATATCACGCATCTGCTTGCTGCAACTGCGCACGAAAACACAGAGACACGAGTCATACGAAACGTGTCAAAGTAACGGCATCCATTTCTGTTTTACGCGAATGACACGGCTTGTTGAACCAAATTAGAGAGTGCTAGTACCTTCGAAGTGGTAGGAGAGAGAGAAGAAGTGTTAGGAAAAACGCAAAGGGACGAAGTGACAGCAGATTCAAACCAAAGGACAAGAATCTTAATCGAGCCATTGAAAACGTTACAAGATTAGGCCGTGTATCTAGAAAACCTAAGAGTTTTAGTTTTAAATTCTTGTAAAACTGCCTCGTGTTACAATATGTACAGTGCGTGTACTATGTATGTAGTGGCCTCGGACCGCCTCGACCCGAGTCCTCGAGTCCTGAGGGCTCGAGTCCAAGTCCGAGTCCGAGTCATTGCACTCCGAGGCCAAGACCGAGACCGAGCCCATGGAAAACGGTCTCGAGGCCGGCTCGAGGCCAAGACCGGCCTCAAGACCTACAACACTGAATACTATATAGAGGGAATTAAGCCACCGTCATATACAATACTAATATATGTGGCCTTGGGCCCCCATCATAAAGTATTCTATATATTTACAATACTATATAGGTGGCCTTAGGCCTCCGCCATACAAATACTATATAATGTGGTCTTGGGCCCCATCATACACTATTATTACAATTCTATATAGGTGGCCTTATGCCCCCGTCATACAAATACTATATATGTAGCCTTGGGCCCCCAGCATACACTATTATTACAATTCTACACATGTGGCCTTAGGACGGGGGCTGGAGCGCACTAGCGGGGGACCAGGCGGCCTAAAGCCAAACTTGGATGTGGATATCTGTCGCCTGCGCTGCGTATACCAGCAAGTACACAATCTGGCTACGTTAGTGTGTTAGCGCCATGCGCAATATCTCACCAGAAGAGTTAATCTTGTGATGAATATGCATTTAAAATGCGTTAGGGGGTATCTCAGCATAGATTTCCCTAATAAACCTTTATCACTAAGACCCTGTTTATAATTAGGAGAGCGCCCTAGCATGTAGAGTACAAAACACCTACTTTATGCCCTCGCGTCCTTCCTCTTGCCTCCTGTCTCTCGCTCAGCCTTCCTCTTCTTCTACCGCCCCCAACTATCTTTCCTGCCGCCTATCCTTAGCTCTCCCATCTCCTCTCCCCCTCAGCAAGCTATATTATGAAGTTTGCTTAGACGGCACTGCAGGCCTAACACGGTGCGCGCAGCATGCGCAATATCTCCCGTTAGAAATCGTCTTTTGCAAAGATTATGCATTTAAAATGAAGAGGAGTTATCCTAGCATAGGTTTATATGATAACATTCCATCAGTAACATCATTTAAGAAATAATTAAGAGAAGACCTTGCATGTAAGGTCCCCGATGCGTATACCAGCCAGTACACAATCTGGCTACGTTAGTGTGTTAGCGCATGCGCAATATCTCACCAGAGGAGTTATATTTTGTGATGAATATGCATTTAAAATGGTTAAGGGGTATCTCAGCATAGATTTCCCTAATAAACTTTTATCAGTAAACTTCTGTTTATAATTAGGAGAGCGCTCTAGCATGTAGGGTACAAAACACCTACTTTATGCCCTCGCGTTCTTTCCCTTGCCTCCCCTGTCCCTCCCGAAGGAGATATTGCCTCCGTCGTCTTCTACCGCCCCAGCTATCTTCCCTGCAGCCTTTCCTCAATGTCCCATTTCCTCTCTCCTTTAGTAAGCTATATTATGAAGTTTGCCTCAGACGGCACTGCACGCCTAACGCAATATCTCCCGAGAGAAATCGTATTTTGCAAAGATTATGCATTTAAAATGAAGAGGAGTTATCCTAGCATAGATTTATATGATAACATTCCATCAGTAGACATCATTTAAGAAACAGGAGGAAGACCTTGCATGTAAGGTGCCCGCTGCGTATGCCAGCCAGTACACAATCTGGCTACGTTAGTGTGTTAGTGCATGCGCAATATCTCACCAGAGGAGTTATATTTTGTGATGAATATGCATTTAAAATGGTTAAAGGGTATCTCAGCATAGATTTCCATAATAAACGTTTATCAGGAAACTTCTGTTTATAATTAGGAGAGCGCCCTAGAATGTAGCGTACAAAACACCTACTTTATGCCCTCGCGTCCTTCCCCTTGCCTCCCCTGTCCCTCGCTCAGCCTCCTTCTTCTTCTACCGCCCCCAGCTATATTTCCTGCCGCATTTCCTCAGTCTCCCATCCCCTCTGCCCCTCAGCAAGCTATATTATGAAGTTTGCCTCAGACGGCACTGCACGCCTAACACGGTGCGCGCGCATGCGCAATATCTCCCGAGAAATCGTATTTTGCAAAGGCTATGCATTTAAAACTAGACAGAGGGCACTCACGGAGAGTGCATACCTCCGCCAGCGACATACGCAATAGCCATACGCCCCATGTAACATGTATGTGTTACGAGCTGGCTCGCCGCTCGCTGCTGGCTGCTGCTGACTGACTGGCCTGCTGCTGGCTGGCTGGCTGGCTGGCTCGCTGACTCGACGCGCTAATATCGATCGCGCGAACACACTAACACACGAGACCGATCACATAACCTCCTCCAACTCCGTTGGACGGAGGTAATAAAGAGGAGTTATCCTAGCATAGATTTATATGATAACATTCCATCAGTAGACATCATTTAAGAATTAGGAGGATGACCTTGCATGTAAGGTCCCCGCTGCGTATACCAGCCAGTACACAATCTGGCTACGTTAGTGTGTTAGCGCATGCGCAATATCTCACCAGAGGAGTTATATTTTGTGATGAATATGCATTTAAAATGGTTAAGGGGTATCTCAGCATAAATTTCCCTAATAAACTTTTATCAGTAAACTTCTGTTTATAATTAGGAGAGCGCCCTAACATGTAGGGTACAAAACACCTACTTTATGCCCTCGCGTCCTTCCCCTTGCCTCCCCTGTCCCTCGCTCAGCCTCCTTCTTCTTCTACCGCCCCCAGCTATCTTCCCTGCCGCATTTCCTCAGTCTCCCATCCCCTCTCCCCCTCAGCAAGCTATATTATGAAGTTTGCCTCAGACGGCACTACACGCCTAACACGGTGCGCGCACATGCGCAATATCTCCGGAGAGAAAACGTATTTTGCGAAGATTATGCATTTAAAATGAAGAGGAGTTATCCTAGCATAGATTTATATAATAACATTCCTTCTGTTAACGTTCCATCATTTAAGAAATAGGAGGAAGACCTTGCATGTAAGGTCATGGCTACGTATACCAGCCAGTACACAATCTGGCCACGTTAGTGTGTTATCGCATGCGCAATATCTCACCAGAGGAGTTATATTTTGTGATGAATATGCATTTAAAATGGTTAGGGGGTATCTGGTATCAAGGGTTTTGATCGCTGAAGTAATTTCATGTCTAAACTGAGGTCGGAATCAAACTCGATTGCTTAATACGCTCCTCTAATGATGATCAATTGGAAATTACCCTCACAGTTCATACTTACTAATCATACTGAAATGTGTGTTGACGTGTTTTCATATATTTAACACGCAGTAAATGCAAAAGTCAGTATATACTTCTTCGAATTTTATTTACTTTATTTAACTAAAGTCCAATGTATGATAGAATACAAAATTACAGAAACGCACATACATAGTTCTTACTAATAGTCTGGCATAAAAATTATTATGAAACTCTAAAATAAATTGGGTGGTACGTTAGCCGTACACCGAACTACCGACAATATTCGAACCGAGACGGTAACGTCATTTAGAGATAGACCTACCAAGCTCCGCAGCAAAGCTACGTGACACGCTGGAACTGCGAACGATTGAAAAAATCCAGTCTATTTTTTACCTGCATGTTGCTCATTAAAACCGGGCAAACAGTGTATGCACATACTCTGAATGCTCTCACGGAACATTTGCCATAGCTGAGTTACAACAGAAGCTAGGCGTGTCCATTGTAAATTCACGCACACGCTAGTGAAGTACGCAGCACGCCACGTAGTCCAGCTCCGATAGAAAACACAAAAATAATGTCTCGCTTTACGAACAATTTCCAAAGATTAATAATTCATGAATTCACGTTTAATGTAAAATATAAGTTAATGACAGCTGACGCAACTTAAACTATAGGAGTAAGAGGAGGCGATGTGTCTTATCCAAACGCGTCAGCCTCTCGTCGTAGAGATGTCACATTTTCGATGACGTCACAGTCGCGGTTAGAAATAGAACTAGCGGTTGCTTCAGTTCACCCGGTAAAACACATCTCGCTGGAGGCCATGGTTTTGATGAGTACACAGCATCTACCAGCAGAGGCGCCACGTGCTCGTGGCGATTATGCTTTCGATTTTCCAGCGCATTTCACGTAAAACAACATACAGTCTAAGTTAAAATAAAAAATGCAGAAATCTATCACGATACCACGATGATGCGCCTTGCCGCGCCGGCCAACCACGCTCTCTTACATACGAGTACTCATAGAAACGTGGCCGGTCACCCCAATGTACATGCATCCAATCTGCTAAGACGTAGCAACTGTCGGCACCGGCGGAGAGCGTGTGACAGCGATCGTGGAACTGGCACGTTCTGAGATGGAAATAGAGGGGCACAGTACACATCGCACCCTGCAATCGTATCCTGTTATTTTGTGCTGAACGAATGGTCGCTCGGGGTAACCTTTTTTTGATAGGGCGCAACCTTCGCGCCTCATTCCTTCCTCATCTCACTCATCTTCCAATTATAACCCTTCTTCACACGTGACGTAATAGTAAAACGCGAGATGGCCTCGGTTGGGAGATTATCATTTTTAAACAAAGGTCGGTATTATATTCTCAAGACATTTTTTATATAACGGGAGGTGTGGTGCAGATGGGGAAAATTTAGTGGGGAGGTTGTGGTGTAGAAGGAGAGTGGGGCACGAGCGCCACCTGTCGCCGACAGACGCTACTTCCGACAGATCATCATGAACGCTAGACGCGCGTAGCAGCGTACGACTCTCCGTGCGCGGAATACGCACACTGCAACATACAGCGATGCGTAACGCGCACATACACACAAATACACATACACACACACACACACACAGAGAAAATGCTATATGTACGTACATGCTCGCTAGTTTTACATCAACCATACACATCATACACACGCACATTGAATAATGTTGCTGCCACCTCAACTAGAAGCTCTCTACTCCTGAGGTACAGCCGCTTTAGCCTGGCAAGACTCTGATTACACGTTGCTACTTCATGCGGTAGCATCAAGACCTAAAACCATACCTACCGTTAAGCGAGTGAAAACATGCGTATGGTTTGCACATCGAGTTAACGATTTCAACCCGGGTCGCGCGGAGACGGACTTACTTTCTTTTCTACTGGAATTTAGACCAGGGTCATATAGACGTTGACATCAATGCTACAATAGGCCCCCACGGGGAGGAATCGTGCCACGACCAGAGTCCAATGATTGCAGACGACGATTTGACGATAGGAAATGCCCGCACGGGGACATATACGACTGCAGTCCAATGATGGGACGCGGTGAAATACACTCATGCAGTGGAACGGCGGTGTACAGTGTTCAAGTCCCGTCACCGGTGCCGCAAAAAAGCGGTGCTGTAGTCGTGGAGAGGGAGAGATTGGGTCACGAGCAGTGGACAACATCACATCAACTTCCGCCTGAATAAATACAGCATTTACTTCACACTACACCGGCTAGAAAACTCGAGAGAAAAGTATTTTGCGAACACAACTGATGCGCACATCGGGACAAGTTTTGTCTGTTCTCAAGCCGCTACCTAACGGTGGGGTTTCTTTTAGTCAGGGAAATTTCATAATTTTAACACAGCAGCCGTGACATTGTGAAATCAGACGTAAATCACTGAACAAGCTGCCACGAGAGCAGGGAAGTCTCGTAGAAAATATTTTTGAAACGCTAAATTCGAAGGCCAAGTGACCTACTTGCAGTAAGACGCCCAGTCAGAGAAACCCTAATAGAGTAACAGCTAGCAAACGCCCCGACTCCCTACCTTCCTTCACTGACATATTCATTTTATGCTTAGTTTGTCCACATTTGGCATAGAGGGAGGCACTTTGCAGTCGAAAACCTACCATTTTGTTACGGTTGCCGTCATACTTGTTCTCATATATATACGCATGAGATTTACATATAGTAGATTATCATACTTGATAACATAATACACATATACATACATGCATACAAACACGCACACACTCACGCATGTATACATACACGCATATGTATGTACACGCGTACGTGCGTACATACATATGCACATACAAACGGACACGTAAACGTATATACATACACACACGTACGGAGATACAGACAAACCCATCAAGTTTCTTTATCGATGACCATTATGGTTATTATAATTATGCAATAAAAATATTAGGTATTTTGATACTGTAGCGGCCCTAGAAGTAGCCACGTTGGCCTGACATGAAGGGACTTGTTTTTGGGGTCTAGCTTACAGATGATATATTTCCCAAACATTCTGTGGAAAAGACCTCTATTTAGCCCTTGATAAATGCAGATTCTCTATCTAGCATCGGATGCTGTACGAATTGACAAGTACGGATGCTTTAGGAAACGAATTCCACGATAACGCTACATTTTTATCAGGGGTGGTCAATAATGTAGTACCCAACTTACTGAGCCCCACCCGTTTCACACAAGCTCCTGCCAGTCACATACTTTCTCAGGTGTCACATCACCAGTTGGCAATATGTGGCGTTATTAGTAGTAGAGGTCCAAACATGGCTGACAGAACTTTTAACATAGACTCGAGAGATTCACTGCACTCAAGTTTCTACCTATTAACATATAACGTTGCAACAACCAAGGTCGAAATTTACAACAGTATTACCGTGTTTAAAAATATCCGGGAACAGCCAAAATAAAGAGAACTGACCTCCACTCCCTGAAAACACTCTAGTACATTTGTTACACGAGTTCTAAAATCAGCAAAATGATTTTTCGCAAAATATCGTGAGTATTTCATCGAATCTCCAAATCCCACAACCAACAGCAGGGCATTAAAAACACATGCTATAAAACCAAATATATCGTCCTTCATATTATACTTTGAGATTACGAGTCGAGTATTTTGTCTAAAATCTGCTTACAATCTCTTTATACACTGCAGTTTCTGCTGTTGCAACGTGGCGCCACCTATGCCGTATCCAAATGATTTATAAATACAGAAAAACACTATTATGCAGCTACAACGATGCAGGAACGACATGCATACATCAAGAGATTTGTTTTCAATTCGGGGCCGGACATTTTCAGCAGGTTCACCCATTTGCAACAGCACAAACTGCAGATACAAAGGTCGTAGCCTTGACCAGAGTGAATAATAAGATTATACACAATTTTCTACTTCAGCCTTAAAAAATTAGCACAAAAACATTAGCCAACGGTGGTAAAGATTTAAAAAAATGAGATTCTGTTGCTTGTTTATCCAATAACCACTGAAACCATGGTCATCCACTCTAAATCTCTTCTCCGATGTTTCGGCACAAGCAGATGGCAAAGATCATGCCAAACAACTGAAAATAAAATCAATCAATCAATCAATTAATCGATCCTGCAATCTATCTACTAATCAATTATTAACATTTAAACCTTGTTCAAGAACCCAAGTCATAATAACTATAATGTCTTCGTGCCTAGACATCTTCTGTTTGCAAGCATTTCATCTTGACTAAAAATACATTCTGCCTATGCTGAAATTGACTTGAATCGACGCATACCTCCAGACAGCCAATTCCAAGTCCAAGTCCAATGACGATGATCACGTGATCGTCAAACCAGTTGTTGATAGAAGCTTTGCATGGCTGAATAGAATCAAATGAGAATGAATAATCATTCAGCTACCATCTACAAACCAAGGCTACAAACGAGCTGTTAACTGGTGTGTATGTAAACAGCACACCGATTCAAGGACCAAAAACATACACTCACAGTGAACCTCGCCCCCCCCCCAAGTTTCATTCAGCAATGACTTGGCTACTACTAACCAATGTGGAACGTACTGCACATAGAGAAAAAAAAGTCTGCTAAATATACAGCCAGAAACTGCCACATCGAAACCACTCTCAACCAACCACTGCTAGTGGACAACGGCACCCTTTCCTTCACAGCACCCCCCACCCCCATTATTCTATAACAGGTCGCGCGCGTGTATACTTACAGTCTTGTAAAAGAAGTTCTCTTCCATAGCCTTACACTTGGCTTCATTAGCTGGCTGTAACGAGAAAGAATAATGGCAGTCACACTCTCTACAACTAAAATAACTCTTCCGAAACAGTCTACAGGCACGCGTGCCTCTATTAGTTAAGCGCAGTAAACATCTAAGTGGGTAACGCCACGAGTCATGTACAGACATCGCGAACGTGTACACAAAGTACTCCTAGTATATTACGCCATTACAGAGGAGAACGGAGTCTTGCAGGAATTTCAGCTTAGGGGACGCGTCGATGCAATCAGCCAGGCGCAACGGCTTGCAACGACGCGTAAAACCGTGATGGGACTCGCAAGTCCAAACAAGCGATCCTATGAAGATCTAACGATAGCGCAGGGTTTCGCAAGCGCAAAAATCAGCCTTGCGTCGTGTCACGAGACAATCTGGATTTCAGCCACGCATACTCGGGGGGAAAAACACGGACCGACGACAATGGACGACGCGGAGAACACCAGAGCGGCTGCCAGGGAATGCAAGTTTACCGTGACGTTGTCGATTTCAGTATTGTCCTGACGCTTGCAGCAGGACAGCGGGAAAGAGTAGCCTCTCGGAAGATTTGTGTTCCCGTCGTAGTCCTTGTAGCTGTTGAAGCCGCAGCATTCTTGCTGCAAGCGCACACGTAGAAACACGAGATATTACGACACGCACACGGAGTGCACCGCTAGGAAGTTAAAGTTAAATCCCTTCCCGTGCCTATGTGGCGCATAGGGCGGTGCCTATCTACGTTTCCTTAACCCGAGGCCACGCAGCTGCTTTCACAGTAAATGCTACACCGGGGGGTTAGTCCACTGGTAGCACTGCGAGTTAACTTTCCACACTCTATCTCTATTTGCGACTCCACCACTAGGAAGAGAAGCACCTTAATGCAGGCATGCACAGCGAAGCTGTAGGCTCTGCTTAAAAGTGTATATGAATCCTATGATTCTAAGACTCTACATTCAGGAGATACATAAAATGCAACAAGGAATGAACAGTAGATTATCGATCAATTAATAATAACAAGAGCGTATTAAGCCTTCTTAATACGCTCTTGATAATAACATTCTGCACACACTCTAAGTCAGCCTCAGCCAGAGAGAGAGAGAGAGAGAGAGAGAGAGAGAGAGAGAGAGAGAGAAGAGAACGGAGAGAAGAGAGAGGAGAGGAAAGAAACGGAAGAGAGAGGAGGGCCGGAGGAGGGAGATGAGAAAGAGAGAAGAGAGAAGCCAATAGAGCGAGAGAAGAGAAAGATAAGGAGAGACGAGAGAGAGGAAAGAAAAGGAGAGAGACGAACGAGAGAGAGAAAAGAGAGAGAGAGAGAGCGAGGCGGAGAGAGGGACGAGAGAGAAGAAGCAGAAGAGAGAGAGAGGAGTGAGGAGAGAGGGTAGAGGAAGAGAAGAGAGAGTGATGGACGAGAGAGAGACGAGTGAGAAAGCAGAGAGAGAAGAGCAGAGAGAGAGAGAGAGAGAGATTGAGGAGATGAACGGTCGAAGATGAAGAGAGAGAGAGAGATTGAGGACAAGAGAGAGAGAAAAAGATGAGAGAGCGAGAGAGAGAGAGAGAGTGAGGATAAGAGAGAAGAAGAGATCATGAAGAAGATGGAGACAGACGAGAAGGATGAGGAGGAAGAGGAGAGAGATGAAAGACGCGAGATGAGAGAGGAAAGACGAATGAGAGGGGAGATGAGAGAGAGAAAGATGAGAGAAGAGGGAGAGAGAGAGCAGAGAGAGAACAGATGAGGAGAAAAGAGAAGAGAGAGAGAAGAGGGAGTAGGGGAGAGGAGAGAGAGAGAAAAGATGATGAGAGAGAGAGAACGTAGATAGATGAGAAAGAGAGGAAGAGAGAAAAAGCCAGTAAGAGCAGAGAGAGAGAGAGAGAGAGAGAGCGTGAAGGTAATCATACCTCCTGCTGAACCCAGTCCCAGGCTCGGGTCATTCCCTTCTGGTCCTCACTCTTCATATATTCATTCTTCAGCATGTCTGGCACCTCATCATCCAAGTACATGTGTATCTGTAACAACGCAATCAATCCATATCGCATTAACCTCGTTTAAAAATTAACGACGCATGACGGAACCTCGCTAATTTTAGCGGTCGATGAATGGCAAGTTTTAGGAAATATTAGGTGTCGAATACAAAAATTCAAACATTTTCGTCCAATGAATATCTTAGACTTAGTATGACGTGTAAATCTGTATAGCGTATGCTGCCGAGAAAGATGGATACCTTGTCCTTGTAGACAACAGCCAGGATTCCTGCTGCTATCTCACAGCCGAGGATGATGATCAGGCAAACGAAATACTGCAAAAGAATTGTTGCGAAACATAGATGGAAGCGCAGCTCTCCGTACGCACTCAACCAACGTTTTACAAAGCTTACATTGTAATTTTCAGATGAGTTAAAAAGTTAAAGTGATTACGTTACCATAAATAGTAAAAAATAAAAAAAAATAATTTCCACTTTTTCAACACAAATATAAACTAATTTCTGATTCACTTTTTATTGTTTAAATTGCTGCAGTCTATACTTGCTATTTACTTACTATATTTGTTCATAATGTTTTGAAATACACTCGTGATCTCATACATCAGCCCATAACGCAAAGCAATTAATGTCATGAAATCACTAATATACAAAATCGATTCCAGGTTTTTTAAATTTTTAACTAGTTGAGAAACAATCTTATCAGGTAAGAATTTGACGATACGTTTAGTCCTGTTAGTTCTTAGTGTAAAAAAATGGCAACACAAATTTTACAAATTTCACCATAGAAAATTCGTGACGTAGTCAATTTAACATCAGAGATGAGAAACGATCAGGATGCTACAGAACTTACACTAGTCCAATTTCAAGCAGCTATGTGCCATATAAAATTGTCAATATGGTTAGCGCCATTAAAACATTCTCTACAGAATGTTTACTCCAAATTAACCACAAACACAGCTTAATTAGGTACAATTCTCCCACTTTTTAAGGATTGTTTTTAGCACTAGAATAAGTATGGTATGTCTAGCAGAATAATTTTTTTTACGTTGACTGCAGGACGTCATAGGAAGCCAGAACCCGCAGACTACTGCAGCAACAACGAGCAGACGAAGACGTTGAAGGTGGCGTCCTCTAGGGTGGCCGAGTTGCACACACGCACGCACGCACGCACGCACGCACGCACGCACGCACGCACGCACGCACACACACACACACACACACACACACTTACCGTGACCAGCATGCACTTGCTCTCCTGGATCGCACCACAGCAGCCAAAGAATCCGACGACAAACACCAGTGCCCCCACAGCAATCAGCAGGTACGCAGCATACCTGCATTAAAACACAGTCATGAGTCCAGGCTACAGTCCACACACTTTGGGATGCAACTAGAGGGATGGTAGAGGTAGTGGCAGAGGCAGCAGAGAATGAATATGCCAAGTAGTAGTAGCTAGTAAAGCTAGTAAAACAGTCATGAGATGATACTACAGTGAACTGATGCTACAGTCTGCAACCGTGAAACTATTGAACGAATGAATGTTTGTTGTGAATATGTCCTGTAACGACTCCATTACGCGACAAATCCTTCTTGCCGAGCTAACCGGCGTATATTTAAAAAATAAAAATACGGTTTATATTTTCGTCACACGAGAAAAAAGCGGCACAATTAGCGCAGTGTATCCAAAGCATGCAGCTGGCTTTGCTCTGAGAATGCAAACGATAACAAACAAGCGACGTGAGAGGGCGCGCGGAGACGTAATGCATTCCGCATGTAACTTTTCGCCTGCTGCTCCGTTTCGTAACTTCCCGCGTGAGAACGGGCGGCAATGCGAAATCGCTGCCCCAGCCAGCGTCACTCAGCTATCCGGGAGAACGTGTCTGGCGTTCGAGAGAGCTGCCTGCCGTTGGCAGATCAGAAAATAGCCATTTGCCTTGCCGGATCGCGTTTCAAACTTTTTAATCAGAGCCACTTGCTCGCTTTCTTTAGCACTCTTTCGATCTCTTTCTGAGCATCTCTATCTTTTTTGCACGCATGCCCACATAGATGCACATGCATATGTATATATATATATAGAGAGAGAGAGAGAGAGAAAGAGAGAGAGAGAGAGAGAGAGAGAGAGA